TTTAATTAAAAGTTAAATAATAAAATGATTATGCATAATATTAAAATAAATGAAGCTATGCAAGTCTAAGTATTTGAGTAAGCAAATTATTGCATTGTCAGACTTAATAGACATTAATTAAGTAATTTTTTAAAAATTTTCTAACAAGGTAAATGCAAAAATAATTTCACATTAAGTCACTAAAACATCATAATAAGTTTGAATTCAATTGCATTTTAAAATAAACAATAAATACTGTGAACAAATATGAAATTTTTAAAAATTGGTGCAATGGATTTATCTCGTAAACACAACACTGATAATAATATGGATATGTTGTATAAATATATTTACACTTTGCTACATTTTTACAATCATTTTATATTTGTAAGTAAATTATACTAACAATTAACATAAACTAGTTGTTTATTATTTGTTTTTGTTAATGAGATATTCATATTTTATTAATTAATATAATTAAATATAAATAATGCATTTAAATATAAGTAGTATTTATTTTATTAACACTTATTAAATACAGCTATAGCATCAAATTTGCTTATTATTTTACCTGATTATAAATCATATTAAACAGTATAAAAAATTTAATAGTAATTAACCATGTGTATATAAAATGAATACTGCGCGCACACAGGGTCTGACAGCATCAATGCCGGGCACGGCGTACGTGGACTTTACACACACAGCAAACACATCGCTACCAATGATAGGACTCATGCCATCGTTTTCAGCGGGCGGAACGTTTTGCGGCTCATTCGGTAAGTATAGCAACAATTTTTTTAAAAAGCAACGAGTTATCAAATAACAATCATTTAATTTGTTTTTTAAAATTTAAGCTACATTAATATTCAAATGGGTTAACAGACAGATATACTTATCACTCGCGGTGCTGGCCATGGGTTTGAGTACAATATTTTTACCCTATTGTACCGAAGTATGGCAATTGTGGCTGTGCACGTTTATTTATGGTCTAGGTACGGGCGCTTGGAATGGTTGCAATAATGTAGTGTTGGTGGAAATGTGGACTAACCTGAGTTCATCTATGTTACTATTTTCTCAATTTCTATGGGGTGTGGGCACTATCATCGGACCACTAATGACCGCTAACTATGTAATTGGTAACGATGTTTGTCCCGGAGTTTTGCCCGAAGAGTGCCTGTCTGTCAACACTAGCGCCGGCACTACAGAGTTGTTGCCCACACTTGAGTGCAGTGAACAATGTTTGACTTACAATAGACAACCGGCGCTGGAAATACCCTTCATTATTGGTGGTGTACTGGAGTTAATTGGTATTAATAAATAAATTCCATTAAATGTACCTTGATTATTATGCATTATTTATAGGTCCGGTGCTATACTTTGCGATGTATTTTATCAAAAAGTATCACTACATCAACGACTTGTCAGAGCCCACAGAGAGCAACAAAGCGGATGCCGAGCGTCGGGCAAAACTGGTACCAAAATACACAATACTTACATGTATTTCAATAGTATTTCTATTTGCGATGTGTTCGGAGAATTTGTTCGCCGCATTCGCCCCGACATTCTTCCAGTACCAGCCGGTGCTTCGCATACCCGCCTCCGAGGCATCGCTAATGAACTCCGCAATGAACGGCGCGTTTGCATTCGGCCGACTAATCAGTGTATTCATCGCATACTATGTCACACCACCTTACATGATCATTGTACAACTGTTTATCACCCTGGGCGGTTATATATTTTTGATAGTTGGCCAAAACATTTACGCTTGTTTATGGGCTAGCTCTATTATCATTGCGTTTGGCTTCTCGACCATCTGGATCTGTTTGTTCTCGTTTGTCGGCCGATACACACCACTAACTAATGTGATAGGTGGTTGGTTTATTGGACCATGTAGTATCTTGCAAATTATTTTAGGCTATTTTGCCACCGATTTTATTGAGAACGACCCAAATGTGTATTTATATTTAAGTTTGGGCGGTGTTGTCATTGGTATTATTGCCTTTGTTTATGCTTGGTTTTCGGTGCGAAATGTGCCTGGTGATTTGATTTTGAATGCCAAACATGGCGTTAGTGGCCATTAATCTCTCTCTCTCTTTCTCTCTCACTCTCTCTTTCTCTCTCTCTCTCCCTCTCGTATTATTTTATGTTATAATAATTAGTATGTTTACATATGATATAACAAATTTACGAGGTTACATTTTAATTTAATTAAGTATTTTAATTTCAATTATTTAATTTTATAAAATTAAATATAACAAAATAAAACAAATGTTTTAAAACAAGGTAGTACTATATAAAATATATAATTTTTACCTTTTGTTTGTTTATATCAATTTGATTTATTTTGACAATTGTTAAATAATACTTAATTGTGTAATAAATATTATAATTCAATTATATTTTATACAAATAAACTTACTGTATTATTTTTATATTTACTTTCATTGAAATTATTGAATATAATAATAATTTTAAAATCAAATACCTGTAATTGTACATTTGTAAGTAATTTTGTTCAGTATTGTATTGTAAACACAGTTATTATATCAAATAATTAAGGTGTTGAGTTTAATATTTTATATCTTTATTAACTGTAATTAATTAGTTTTGTTAAAATAATTGTTTTAATTATAAATTTAGTAAAATGACGCTGATAATAAGTTCCTGTATGTACATTTACGCGAATGAATGTACACAATTTTGATTATAATTACATTAAATATTAACTAATACATCAAGTGCTTATAATACATGTGTATAACTATAGTTAATATACAGTTAATAATAACTACTGTAAATATTGTTATGTAAATTTTCATGGCAATATAATAACAACTTTTGAAAAGTTTAATTATTTAATTAAATTGATTAAAAATAATGAAATTTGTAAAACAATTGTTTAATGATGTACGCGATGTGTTTATTATACCAGAAAGCGATCATGGTAATGATATGCGTCTG